AAAGGTAAAATTTCCAAGTTTATGGAATTTGTTTTTATTTCATTTGTTCCCGTTGACAAATGGGGCAGTAAATTCTTTTTTTTTTTTTTTTTTTTTGTCTTTTTGAGACAGGGGTTCACTATGCAGTTCAGGCTGGCCTTGAACTCACTTTGTAGCCCACACTGGACTTAATTCCAATTATCTCCCCCACCAAACACACTTTGGGTGCTAGAGATTAACCTAGGGCTTTGCAAGTGCTAGGCAACTCTCTACCACTGAGCACACTCTTAGTCCTACATAATATCTTGAAGTTCAATTCACTCTGCTCTGAAATTGTTTTTGACTACAATAAACATTAGAACACAAAATCACAGCATGGCTCATAATTCGATAATTAAGGTAAGCCCAGCTAATTAAGGAACAAGCTAAGTCTAAATAGGTAGATTAGCATTTAAAGGCAGTAAAAAGAGATAAAAGTATACAGTCTTGATTTTGTTTAAAACATAAAATCTATAATGAATGAAAGTGTCACTTTCTTCAGTATAATTTAATAAGTTTCCAGCTGATTAACATAATCAAGCAAATTACCGTTTTATCTTCATCCAGGAAAATCTCTCTGGCTTCCTCATAATTACAAAACTCTTCCTGGCACTCTCTTTCTAGGTCACTGGGAAGGAAAAGCTCCAAATCAAACCTATTGTATAGGAGGTGGCGATGTATGAAAAAGTTCGCTTCTTCTTTTGATGCAAAGACTAATAATAAAGAAATAAAAAAAATTCAAACACTGATAAACATAAAGCATAAAATTCCTGTTTTATCTGTAGAACAAGTTAGTAGTTCTTCTGATGTGGTTAAATTATACCAAATTTTCTTGTATGGTTTTATTTTTTACTTATTTATATATAGTTATGTATTTATTTATTTGTTTTTAAATCTAGTTGACTCAATGGTAAGGACTGGTTTATGATCATGATCAATTACTTCATCTGTAAAATACAGGAATGGGATTGGGTTATCTGTTGACTCTCTGTTAGCTCCCAAATTAAACAAAACAAAACCAGAACCAAACACTGAGTTTTACATGTATTCCATTATTAATCTTGTAATTTTGGGGGCTGGGGATTTAGCTCAGCGGCAAAAAAGTGCCTGCCTGGCAAGCGCAAGGTCGTGAGTTCGGTTCCCGGTACCGGAGAAAAACCAAAAAAAAAAAAAAAAAATCTTGTAATTTTGAAGGGGGAAAGGGAAAAGAAAATTTGCTGTTTTCTATTTAAGAGAAAAGTGTAAATTAAAATTCATTTTTATATTTATTTATTTTAAACACTGTATGGTATTTCTCATTTGAGTGAACATTTTTATGTTTAATTTATGACTTTCGGGTCTAAGAATTATCTAAATTGGAGCATTTGTTATCATGCCAAAAACATGATTCCTGTTACTACATGCAATCTACAAAAATATAAATTATTAAAGAACCACTGGTTTAAAGAAGAGTTCACTTAAATGTCATCAAGTATCTGTCATTCAGAGTAAATGGGGACAACGTGGTGAGTTCAATTCCCAGTACTGAAAAAAATAAAACAAACAAACAAAAAAACAAACAAACAAAAAAGAGTAAATGGAGGGTGCTGGGGATTTAGCTCAGATGCACAGCATATGCCTGGCAAGCACAAGGTCATGAGTTCGATTCCCAGTACCGGGGGAAAAAAAAAAGAAAAAAAAAAGAGTAAATGGGAAAAAAAGAGTTTAAATGCAAAGTTTGACATTTGGAAGCAATCTTTGTGATTTAAGTCTTAGCACCTCCCAAATTTAAATACTGTGCAACCTTCCTCTCCAAAAACAAACTGGGTAATTACATCGGCATCCATCCTGATTTTGATGGTGTGCTGTTTTATGTTTCTTGGGAAATAAAGTCTTAGTGGTCCAGGTAGTGATTTAAAATTGATAATTAAACATTAAAAATAAACTTCTTTTAGGGCCCAATTCTTCCTGACTGCATAAGTGATTTGTTTAAAATCCTTAGGGTCTACAACTTCAATAATGAATTGAGTGGATGAGGAAGAAAACACATATATTTTTTACAGTACTTGAGATAAAAGTCCAGTGAGAGATGGACACAGTAATGTGAATTCCTTATTATAATAGTAAATGCATGCATGTATATGTGTATGTCTGAGTTATTTCTACTATTTATTAACACATCTATCTGTCTATGTACAAATATCTGTACAGTACTTACTACTTGCCAAGCCATATATATTTTTTTCTATTACATGTTTGTGACACATGATGGTTACATTCATTGGGGGTAGCTGGTACATGTACCTAACACATCTTCTTTTTACATCTCCTTTCCTCTCTTCCCTTTCCCATCCTCTGTCTCTTCGTTCCTTTCCATCTGCACAAGATCTATCTCCCTGTTTCCCTTTATCTACCTTTTATTTTACTTATAATTTGGGTTTCTCATGTAAGAGAAACCATACAATATTTAAGTTTTGTATAGCTTCATTTATTTACTTCTTTTGGTCTTTTTGAGACAAGGTCTCACTATGCAATTCAGGCTGGCCTTGAGCTCACTTTTTAGCCCAGGCTGGCCTCGAGCTTGCAACAATCCTCCTGCCTCAGCCTCCTGAGTGCTGGGATTACAGGCATGCACCATCACGCCTGGCTTGGTTTTGTATGACTTTAAAATCTGAGCCAAGGAAATAACATCAGGAACTGAGCATGGTGGTAAACACCTGTAATCCCAGCTACTTGTAAGGCTCAAGCAGAAGGAATGAAAGTTCTAGGACAGCCTGAGCAACTCAGCAAGACATTGGCTCAGATAAAAATAAAATGCTGAGGATATAGCTCAGTAGTAGAGTGTTTGCCTAGAATGTTCAAGTTCAAATTTGAGTTTGATCCCTAGTACTGGAAAAAATCCCATCATGGCAACATTTCAAAACCTACAAACCTTAAACTCATTCTGGGGTCACACAAAGTTAAGTGATTATGCTAAGATCATAGGCTGAGACTGGAATTCAGAAACCTTCTGACAGCTACATCAAAATGATTAAAAGAATTTAAAAATGATGACTCTTCTCACTGTTAACCACTACCAAAGGAAGAATATACTAAGGTGAACAATTGCAAGACAGTTCCCTAGAAAGCATGATTTGGAAAACTAACGCTGGTTTGTGAGTGATCTTGGGTTGGCTATTTATTCTTAGTCCCTTGAGAGCAGTCACATGTTGTTCAAGGTTTTTTTTTTTCTAAAATTAATCATCTTTTTAAACAGGTCTGAATCTTCTAGAGCTGTTTCATCCAATACAGTGGCCACTGAACATATATAGTTACTAAGCCCTTGAAAGGCAGCCATTCTGAATTGAGATGTACTGAAAATACAAAAAATACACAAGATTTGAAGGATTTAGTATGGAGGGAAAAAAAGAGGATGTGATACATCTCAATGAAGATTTATGCTGCTCTTCTTTGAGATAATGATATTTTAGATACTTGGCTAAATTAAATACATTATTAAAATTAATTTTATTTCTTTTAAAAACGTGTATTAGAAAAATTTAAATTATTTTTGTGGCTCACGTTATATTTCTTTTGCCTAGCTCTATTCTAGAATGTCAATTTCTATGTTGTAAATAACATATGGGCTACTGGAATCAAGGGGGAAGCTAGGATGCAATAATTGTTGATAGTTATTTTATATTAAAAAGTGTGGGCGTGGTGGCACATGCTTCTAATTCCTGCACTTTGGGAGGCTGACGCAGGAGGATTGGCATGAGTTTGAGGCTAGCCTGGGCTACACAATGTGCTCAACGCCAGTTTGACCTACATAATGAGATCCTGTGTCAAAACACCAAAAAAAAAAAAAAAAAAAGAAAAGAAAAGAAAAAGAAAAGCATAAAAGAATTGAGCTAAAAAGTGGACGACAGGCCAATGTAATTAAATACTTCTGTTCTTTTCCCTCAAATGAGGGAAACTTCCTGTACATTTTATGTTGCCCCCAAGTGGAGAAAGAATGAAAAATTTCCAAGCTTTTATCATCCCCCGGGTCTACAAAGGCTTCCCAACTGGTGCCCTTATTCTTGTATAACACAACCTCCAGAAAGATCCTTTTAAAAGGTAAGTCAGACTTTGTTCTTATTTCCTGTACATCTATGTGTGTGTGTCTGTGTGTGTGTGTGTGTGTGGTACTGGAGACTAAACTCAGGGCTTTCACACTGAGCTACATCACCAGCCCATTTTTATTTTTATTTTTAAATTTTAAGACAAAGTGTCACTAACTTGCTTGCACTGGGCTCACCCTTGCGATTCTCCTGTTTCAGCCTCCCAGAGGGCTGGGATTACCAATGTGCAATGCCATGCTTGGCTCATTCTTTATTTGCGACAAGGTCTTGTTAAACTGCCCAGGCTCACCTGGAACTTCTGGCCCATCTGCCTTAGTTACTATACCTGGCTGCTTTTAAAATCTCCTAGTATCAGTTTCGTTTTCCAGGAATAAAAACTAAACTTCTTACAATGGCCTATGGGCCCTGTACAAGCTGGTTGCAAGTCCTTACTTCTCTGACCTCATCTCCAACCCGTTATGTATTCTGCTGAAGCTATGCCAGGTTGGCTTTCAACACACTTGGTTCTCTACTGTCTTTGTGTTTCCTGTTTTCTTTGAATGCAGTTTTTTCTTTCAGTTTGCTCTTACAGCTCCTTCAAGATCTTGTTCAATGTTACCTCAAACTCTCCCCTCTACCCACTCACCTCAGATACACCTAGTCCACACTCTGCCTTTCTCTATAGCATCAGTACCACCTCAGGATCGGTATGTCTTAATTCTCTGTTACCACTGTTCCCCTTGGCTTGACCACTAAAGAGGTGCTCAAAGCATTACTGAATGAGAAAACTCAACTTTCCTAATGCAGGAAGACATTCTTGGCCCTGAACTCAACCAGCAGACGCAATTCATACGTATAATCTGATGTTACTCAACTTGGCATAGGTTTAAGGTATTATGAAGCAACTCAGCCATATTCACTGCATAAAATCGAATTTCAGAATGAAGAATAAGAAATCTACCTCTGTGTTGGTAGTTTTCAGATCTTTACTTTCATTGGCTAAAAGAGCAGTGCCGAATTTCTCATGTTCAAGCAAGTATCTGAATTAGAACTCCTTCCAGGGACTCAATAAAGCTGATTTTTTTTTTTTTTTTTTTTTGGTTTTTTTCTGGTACTGGGAATCGAACTCACGACCTTGCGCTTGCCAGGCAGGCGCTGTGCTGCTGAGCTAAATCCCTAGCCCCTTGTTTTCCCTTTTTGAGACAATATTGTGCTACATACCTCAGGCTGGCCCTAGACTTGCAATTTTCCTGTCTCAGGCTCCTGAGTGCTGGGATACAGATGTGTATGTCCCCCACAACAGGCCTCATACTAAGGCTAATTTTTAATTTGAGGGGAAAATAAAAAGAGAGGCATAAACATTTTAAGTTTTCTTGAAATGATATTTATCCTAATATCATACATGATATTTATTATTAATCACTGTATTGTGATTGATCTTATATTAAAATATCCTGCCAGGAGCTTCTGTTTCCTGCCTTCCTGAGTGTCAAAGCACTAACTCTGTCAGTGGCTAACTTTGGACTTAACCTTCAGTACCAGGTCAAGTTTTTCCCTGCATCCCTTAAGATCTCGGGAGAAATACTGCCTTTTGTCTCCTCGAGTCTAAGTAACCCTGATTTTATTTCTTTTGTTTGTTTGTTTGTTTTTGTTTTTTTTTTTCCGGCACTGGGAATCGAACTCATGACCTTGCGCTTGCCAGGCAGGCGCTGTGCCACTGAGCTAAATCCCAGCCTCCGCTGATTTTATTTCTAATTGGAAGGAAGCAAACTTCCCTACCCTGGAAAGCCCTTGGTTCTCAGTGAGAGATCCTGTTTTCCTCTTGACCACGGCTGGAGGGAGGATGCACTGACCTTTGCAAATGCTCCTGTAATCTTCCCTTCTCTGTTTTTCTTGTCTTAGACTATCTTAAGAGGTTGTCTGTGTATTCCACTGTTACAAATCCATCAACCTAAATATTTTATTTTCTTCCTCTCTTCTATCTCCCCATGTTTTCGAAATAAGCTCCTTTTTAAGTCATTTCAACTCTATCCTACTACTGTATGAGAATTTTGCTGAAGGTCTTCTCCTTTTTTTAGTTACAGTTGTATTCCGTACACAGCCTCACTCTCTACAGATTCGGTTGCCTGAGGTCAGTTACAGTCTGAAAAGGGTTTTTTTTTGTCTTTTTAAGACAAGGTCTCGCTATGCAGTTCAGGCTGGCCTTGAGCTTACTTTGTAGCCCAGGCTGCCCTCAAACTCGCGATGATCCTCCTGCCTCAGCCTCTCCAGTGCTGGAATTACAGGCGTGCGCCACCACGCCCGGCTCAACAGTCTGAAAATATTAAATGGAAAATTCCAGATACAAACCAGTCATAGGTTTTAAATTGTAGGTAATTCTAAGTAGCACAATGAAATCTCCCACCTCTTGTTCAGTTCTGCCCAGAATGTCAATCACCCTTGGTCCAGCGTATCCACATAGTATATACTACCAGCTCATTAGTCACTTAGTAGCAATCTTGATTACTGGATCAACTTCATGGTACTCAGGCTTACATATAGGGTTCATTCAGTACCATGTGAAGTTTTAGGGGTTTACTGGTAGTTTTGGAATGAATCTTCTGTGGATAAGGAGGAACTATCTCCATTTATTATGTCCCATTTGCAGATGGGAAGCATTGATAGTGTGTCATATAACTCTCCTGGGCCAGGGTTTTGCTAGTCTCTCTTCTCTGCTCTAGGGGTTCTCTGTTTCTACCTCCGTTACAGAATTTATGGAGACTGTATGTTTATCCCCCGCCCTTCCCACCAGATGCAGAGGTCCACCAAGATAGGAGTTACACTCCTTCATTTATACATCTCCAATACCTGTACTGGCATACAGTATATGCTCACAGCATAGTGATGAAACAAGTTAGCTTTCAAAGTGTTGGATCTCTCATCTTCATATCCTGTAGACATCTGTAGTCCTCTACACTCAAGTATGATTTCTAAATTCCTTCCATAGTGTATAATGTTCTTGAGAGTAATCTTTATGCCTGGGTCATGTGAATGAATCAATACATTCACATTCTGGGGTGTCACATTGGGTCCTACTAAGTACAGACCACCTATCTGCCTTATATATGTGGCTTAGATAGTTGGTATGACTTGGGAGGTCCAATTGCAGATGGAAAGTATTGTGACATCGGAGTTTGCGTCTTTTAACTTAGGGTATTATCCTAAGACAGACACACACACACACACATTCAATAAACTGTCTTAATCCTGAACAAGTCCGTCAGAAGTATTAGTGTAAGAAACCCCTCTCAAATAAAAAAGAGCTGACGGAGGATCTGATGCGAAGGGGTAAAAGACGTGCATGTTTGGTACTGGGGTGGGGAAGGGAGATAAATAGACAGGGAGGAGAATGCTGAGAGCCAAAGGCAATTTTCCTTTTTCTTTCTTTGTTTCTGGCTTTTCCGGGTAAGGATTTTAAAATGCAGGCAAAGAACCAACGTGTTTATGACCTAGAACCTAAAAAGCATGGACTTCTAGATAAGTGAGCTCCAACCATCTTTCAACCATCTGCCTTTATCTGACAAGTAGACTTTTCAAAGTTAGAAAGAACCCGAGAGATCATTCTGCCTCTACCCTCATCACTTGACAGATGAAGGAATTTCAGCTCAAAGGCATCAAGAATTTTGCCCAGAGTCTCACAAGCAGTCCATACTAGGGGCTCAGGGTGTCAGGGTGTAGCTCAGGGGTTGATTGCGTGCCCAGCATACCCAAAGCCCTCCGTTTCAACCCTAGCAGCGAAACAAAACAAAACAAAAAAAAGCAAGTCTATACTAGATCAGGACGCCCTGTCCATTCTTCCAGAAACAACAAGCAATTGTGTTCCTTATGATTACCACACGGCTTTATCTAGAAAAAGTCACTCATTTTCAGAAATCTAAACCAGATCTGAAGCATATATTGTACCAAAGGAGACTCACAGAGATAAATTCGTACGCATTGTAAAGAACATAAAAGTCCAAAACATTACCAAATAAACCACAAATTAAACTAAACGCTAGTTTAGTGCTTCTGTGGTTCATGGAGGCATCTAATTCCCGCTTGAGATTTCTAATAGGCGGCTCGGGTTTCCAGGAGGGCTTTCTCGGAAACAGTCCTGCTTACCTTCTTCTGGCGCATGCCTGGCATCCTTTCCATTGCTTGTGTAAGGAGGAAACGCTAAGGTAACTATGGGCAGTTGGCTGAGTAGAATCAGAAGTGTGAACATAGTCCGGCAGCTGTCAAACAAACTAAAACAAAGAAAAAAACATGCATCAAAAAAGTCCCTGGCTCAATAGTTTTGAGTTTCGGTAGGAACTGAGTCACCTGACCTGTCGTACCCAAAACCTCCGCGCGAATGCGCCCCGAGCGCGGTTTCGGTTGCCAGGATCTGGCGCGCGCCGGGAAAGCGACCCCCGAGAGCGCCCGGGGACGCGCGCTGCGCCGGCCCCTCCCGCCTCTGCCGAGCGCCGATCTGATACTTTCGCTCGGTGTTGAGGTCGGATCGCGCTCGGGCTCCGCACCTGTATCTCCCGGCACATGTTCCAGCAGCCCGGGAACCGGAGGGATCCCTGTGGTTTGGAGCCGCAGGCCCTCGGTCTCTGGCGCCCAGCTAAGTCTCAGAGACAATCCGGCCTCGCTCTCCGGCCCTGCGCGCAAAGGGGGCGCCCGCCCTCACCCGACGAGGCCGCCGCCAGCAGTGGGACGGAAGACTCGGCGGCCTGGGGACAGACACCTGGTGGCGCTCCTCCCCCGGGGCCGGCTCACCTGCGGCGGGCGGGCCTCCGCCGGCGCCTCCTGGCTCTGTCCCAAGCCCTGGGTGAGCCGGTTTGTCTCCGGTCACCGGCTGTGCCTCGGCCTTGGTGACGCGGCTGGCAGGTGTGAGACTCGTTTCTAGAGCCTGGGTTTGTCTGTTATCAGCGCTCGGAGTTAAGCAGAACACCAGCCCAGCGCCGGGGTTTTTCTCTTTGAGTTGCATCAAGCTAGGGGTTACTTTAGGTCAATTATCCTCAAAGAGTTATCCAGAGATGAGAATAAAATAATACATCAGAGAAGATACACTTAGTTAATAATAGGAAATAAGAACTGACCTGAAAATGAATTGATTAGTTCTCAAGTGGTGGTTCGCCAGGTCCGATGGATGTCTCCAAAATCCTTTCACGGGATCTCTGAGGTCAGAATTATTTCCAGGCCCGGTGTGCTGGTGCTCGCTTGTAATCTCAGCTGGTTGAGGCAAGAGGATCCTCAGGAGTTCGAGGCAAGCCGGCCCTACGCACTAGTTCAAGGCCAGCCTGAGCTAAGTACGGGAGACCCTGTTTCAGAGACTCTGGAGGGAGAGAAGAAAGAGAGAGAAGGAGGGAGAGGGAGGGAGGGAGGAAGAGAGGATGATTTGACCTTTTCACTTTTGTTCCAAAGGCTATTTGGCCTATAATGACGTCATCACTCTGCTGAGTAATAAAATACCCACGAGTATATGCTTGTGTTTTCTAGTATTTCTATGGTGGTAGGTTTAAAGTATCAATATGTACATTTTATATAAAGATTTATATAGATTAACAAAATCTGCTTGTTCTCTTGTTATTTCTAGGTATCTTTGGTCATATCTACCAGGATAGCTCTTACTTCACTATTCTTAGAGAAATAATTATCTTGAAGTCTCGAACTGTTCTTTAAGTTTATATGGAGACAGCCAAATAAAATAAGTACACATTGCTATCTTGATTTGAAATAATATTTTGGAAATTTCTTTTTCTTTCTTTCTCTCTTTCTTTCTTTCTTTCTTTCTTTCTTTTTTTTTTTTTTTTGAGACAGTGTCTTGCTATGTAGTCCAGGCTGGCCTTGAACCCATGGCTGTCATCTTACTTCAGCCTCCTAAGTGCTAGGATTACAGGCATGTGCCACTACACCTGGCTATTTTATTTTTTTTTTTGGTACCAGGTATCAAACTCAAGACCTTGTGCTTGCCTGGTAGGCACTTGTGCAGCTGAGCTATATCCCCAGCCCTACCTGGCTATTTTAATTTTTGATTAATTCAATTCTCTTTTTTTTTTCTTAATTCTCTTTTTTTTTCTCCCCACAAGGCCTTTGTCTATTTTACTTTTATTATTGAGAGTCAATATTACTGAATAGTTCCTCAGTTTTCTGCAGAAATGTTGTTTGTGCAGATTTCTTCTAGCAAGTGCTTTTTCTCGTCCCTTCTCTCAGGCTCTTTCTTTTCACTTTCTATTTGTCTGTCTTGCACTCTAACCTGTTCTGGTGATGGAGTCATCTCTGGCTCTTTCGTAAGCAATTAAGATCAGACTAGAAGGAGGCTAGAAATGATTTCTCCTAGTTGAACACAAAATAGGAAAGGCTGTCAGTAGAACACACATTCTTCTGAGAATTCTGAGGCCCAAAATCCTGAGAATAAGAAAATAAGCATCACAGCCTCCATTCTAGAGAACTAGATCTGGCTGAGATCTATATCTAGGAATGTGGGCCTGTGAAATTCTCAGGGGCAAAATCTGACTCATTCATTCATCTTTTATGGTCTCCACAGTACTGGGCAGGGAGCCTTTTACATTGTTTTTCTCCACACATTTTCAGTAGGCAGAAGCAACTTATTCCCAGGTAGCAAAAGTGTTTCATGCTATTCGGAGGGGAGGAGGCAAACGGTCAAATGCCTTATGCTATGAAATCAGCAGATGTGAATTTTGATGAAATTCCTTGGTAGAACGAGTCCACCCACATATCTGAATATTTGGACCAAAACAAGTGAGGCTTTGTGCTCACATCAATATCTAAGTGTACAGCCTGTGAGGGGAGGCGGGTAGAGAAGTGAAAGTGGTTCTCAGTGGTGAATTCCATCCCTGCATGTTTCCCTGTATATGGGTCCTAACAAATGTTACAGCATTTGGCAGCATGCACACAAACTTTAACCACTAAGGAACTGCAAGATATTTTGAGGCTCACTGGCAAAAAAGAAACAAAAAGAGAGAGAGAAAAGTCAGTAATGATAATGTCGAAGTCCTCTAATTTTTTCTGCTGTATCTGTGTTGCATTCATTTCTTTATTTTGTACTATTCGCTTTTATTTTTTTATTTTTATTTTTTGTTTTTTTCTGGTACGGGGAATCAAATTCATGACCTCTACTATTTGCTTTTAGAAGTTACAATATTTTTGTGCCTTTTTTCCCAGAGCATTTTAAGTGCTTTTGAAGATAGTGTTTTTGTTATTCTGGTCATCTGTGAAGTTGGGAAGATGTTATGGTTCACGCTTCACAGAGAGGTTTATTGAAGCACAAAGTAAATGAGAAGCCATGGGCCAAGTCTTAGCCTGGTTCTTGATTCTTTCAGGTGCTCCCTTTGAATTATTAAGCAGTGAACTGTGTTAGGTAAATGATTATTTTGTTTGAAAGGAAATAAGGAAAAAATCAGACCAATGAGACCAATGGACTTGGGTTAATGTGATAACGTGTGTCTGAGTTTGAGTACATAGCTACCTGTGTGGATTAAAGAATGAGTGGAAGGACTGGGGATATAGCTCAGCAGCACAGCACCTGCCTGGCAAGCACAAGGCCTTGAGTTCGATTCCTGGTACCAAGAAAAAACAAAACGAAACAAAACAAAAAAGATTGAATGGAAACTGGCTTTACTGTGTTGATATGAGGACTGACTCCAGGAATAAGCCAGGAAATGTCAAGGTTGCAACTATGAAGCGCTTCAATGTAAGGTGGCAACCGCATCCTTGAAGACACGTGGATGACAGTATCATTAGGCTACTCTGAACAGGAAGGCAACTTTGCTGAACTTAATGTTTTTGTGACATTTTAGCCTTGATATTTCAATGTCAATTATCTGCTGTGAAATCAGCAAGTAGAAAACAGACTCCTATTCTTTAAGGTTACTAATGTATCTGTATGTAGGTGTTTTCAGATTCATCAAATAGAGTTTAAAGGTTTTACCTTTTGCTGTTGTTGTTTGTTTTGTTTTTTTGAGACAGGCTTTTGCTATGTAGTTTAGACTGGTCTTGAGCTTCTTCTGTAGCCCAGGCTGGTATCAAACTCAATGATCCTCCTGTATCAGCTTTCCAAGTGTTGAGATTACAGACTTGTGTCACCATGCCTGGCCTAAAAATTTTATCTTTTTTGGAGGGGGGTTGGTTTCCAGTACCAGGAACCGAACTCACGACCTTGTGCTTGCCAGGCAGGCACTGTGCCACTGAGCTAAATCCCTAGCCCCTAAAAATTTTATCTTAAACACCTCTTAGAAACATTTGACAGACTTTATCTTTAATTCTATCATTTAAGAACAGAGATTTTTAATAAACAAACAATTACACAAAATCAAGAACAGCATCAGAAGTCAATCCGGTTTTCTCTCATACCCTTGGTAGTGATAAGAGCTATAAGTTGTGCTTACAAACAGTAATCTTTGGGGCCGGGGATATAGCTCAGCAGCACAGTGCCTGCCTGGAAGCACAAGGTTGTGAGTTCAATTTCTGGTACAAAAAAAAAAAAAAAATCTCCACTGTCCTTACAGACATATAGGAACTTGAATCAATGTGTTTCTTAGCTGCCCCTGGGGGCCTGGGGTAGGTGCTTGTGTCACAGCTGGTCATAGAACTATCATTGTTATAGAACTGGGCATTCACTATCATTCTACACTCATCAGATCACTTTGCCATCATGATTGTACTCTCTGCTTGCCACACCTGTTTTGGCTTCTTTCTATAAACTCATATTCTGGTAATCGTAATGTTCTAAATGAGTGGATTTTTTTCACACACAAGTTTACCTAACATCAGTTGCAAAACCATACTTTTTCATATGTAGCACATGTAAAGGGAGTTTAAACAAATTACGTATCTCTACCTCTACAACTGACAGTGTTTCAGAATAACTGGTTGAACCCAGTTTGATGGTGTCTACCTGTAATCTCAGCTCCTCAGGAGGCTGAGGCAGGAGGATCTTGAATATGAGGCTAGATGGGCAACATAGTGAGACACCCATTACAAATCCAACAAGTACTAGAATCATTCATTAATTCCATGTCAGAGAAGGACAATAACACAGGAGCGATGCTGCTGGTACTGTTTAAAAGGCACACATCTCATGGAAGTCCTGTTAGGAAACCTACAAACCAGGGTCCTTTTTGTCTTCCTTTGATGAAGGAGAATCGCTTGTTACTTTATGTATGGCCATGGCATGAAACCCTCTTGTGGGCCATTAACTGAGCTTTGAAATTTAAAATGTGGATTAGCTATCATGCCTTTTCCTGATGGATATTAATGGCTTTAGTAAAATTTATGTGTCCCTTGCTCATCTTGTCAACACCCCTTGATCCCATCTTTGTGTTTTTGCTACTTAGTGCTTCACCTGTAAGAGTAGGGTTTCCTCGTTATGTGAATGAAGCAATACATAAGTTCTGATCCTAAATGTGCTTCTCTCTGACCAGATGACTGAGCAAGCTTCT